ACACACACATTCATATATGCATACATACATACATACATACATACATACATACATACTTATGTGGTGAAGCCTAGAGCATTATGGCCTCTTTAGGAAGTGGAAACTCTGATGGCTGAAGCTGCAATGTTGTGTACCGGGAGCGGATAAATGACGGTGCAACGAGTGCATAAGCCTGCCAACCTAATAACTGCATATTTTCCAGACAAATAGACACACACCAGCATAAACACACCCTCACGCAGAGAGATGAAGAAGACACAGATACATGCACACTCACGTTGTTGTGTATGCGTGTTTTGCTGTATGGTTGTATGGGTGTACGGGTGTGTGTTGGTGATTTCGGCTTCGCGCCAGAGAGACGTTTGTCGGCTCCGCCATTGTAAATAACAACTAGTCTGCACGAAAATTATCTTTAATCGCATGCTAATTGCGCCTCGCCTATCTTTGCATTATTCATCTTATGAATAAACGTATTTTTTGGGTTTATTTCCTCCGTCGCACAAGTAAATATGCCTTAACCGAATAAGAGATGACTACAGATTTATCCGGCTGTCAGTTCACCCGCATCCATCTACCACTATTTTGAAGAGTCTTTGCCCGTTCCCGTTCCCGTTCTCGTTCTCGAGCTCTGCTCTTCCTCTGCCCTTTGACGACGCTCAGCTGACCTGGTTGGTACAAACGGCAGAGGGAGATTTTTCCTTGTGGATTTCAGCGGCTTTGTAGGCCGTGTGCTTCACATCACACTTCCTGAGTAGAGATTTCAACAACTTGGCTACAAAACCTTCGATGCCTTGTCTGCCATACTCGTCGCCCTCAGCCTCCGCCTGCACCGATGCAGTCAACTTGTGCCATTGTACTGCTGTCGGTGTGTAGCTTGAGGGGCAGTTTGCCTATCATTCATTCCAACAATGGCCTGATTTTACGAAGGAAGTTCGCATTTCAGCTGGAGACTGTACCAACTATTTAAGACACGTTTATTCTGGGCACACACACAAAAGGTGGTAGCATTTTCATTTGCTACAATTTGCCCAAAAGCCACGTGAGGCACATGCGCATGACTCTTTTCTTTCAAGTCTTTATTCGTCGACCGAAGAAAAAGGTGGGACCTATGACCTGAGCCGGACGCACATGCAACTCCGAGATCCACTCCGATCGCCCCATTCACAGTTCCACATGCAAGGCTCGGCTGGAGGCACAGCCAACAATGTCTGGCAAACTCAACGCTCCGGTTGTCATGGCTACATGTTGTCTGAGTGAATGTGAGGCTTGTGGATGCGGGTGAATTGACAATTTTGGCGGCGAAACTGGAGATTTGCTCGGTTTGCTCGAAAGATCTAAACAGTTTTCCCCACTTTTTTCTCCACAAATGTCTTTCATCTCTCGACAGGTGTACAATTTCCCCCTCAAATTGTCAAGATTTCGCCCACCATCTCGGTTTCACCGGGTCAGGACGCCGTGTTGACGTGTCGAGCCGCGGCCTATCCGACGCCCAAAGTGAAATGGATGCACACGGCGCCGATGGGCCAAAACGCCCGACTCGACAGGCAGCGCCAATTGGCCGGCGTCGGCAGTGGCCATCCCGGCTCAGTGGGCCTCGCTGGGCCGCAGGTTGCTGGGTCGGGGGCGATCGGAGGCGGTGGCACCCAACTGACCGAGCCGAAAGACTTGGAGGCCACCCTTCGTCTCTCCGAGATCAGCCAATCGGCCAACTATACATGCGTGGCCTTCAACGAACTCGGCGTCGTCAATCGCGACGTGGAGGTGGTTGTCAAGCGTGAGTTGCCCTCGAAAAGAGCCAATTTGGCGGGTTGATTGGGTCGAAAAAGGACGTGGTACAGCCGCAATTTTGTAGAATTTTCCCAAGGCGTTGCAGGCTGCAGTAAAGTGTAACCCTTCATGTAGCCAAATAGATTGGCTGTTTGATGCAGTTCTTGCGCGTGTGTGAAACGGAAATTTGTATCTGCTACATGTGACCCTATTTCGCGAGATGTTCTCCTACAGCCTTGATGGGATATTTTCAAAGCGAATTGAAGCCTTCCGTCAGTCTTCAGTGAGCGAGTGCATTCTTAAAGCAGACGATACGACTCAATTGTAGAGTAAAAGTTTTGGGTGAAGAGATTCGAAGCTCGATTGGCTTTATTGGAACATTCATGGCGACGCTGTTTCCGAGGAAGTCATCAAGGAGATTACCTCGGAGGCAGCGTCAACAAGAATGTTCCAAACAAGCTGGTAAAGAGGACCGCACCATCGTCTTCTGATGAAATCAAAATGGAAGTAAACTCAACAGTTATGAAATGAAGGGATTCCTCAAAACCCAACTTTTCTTCGCGTATAATACTACTTAGCTTGACGTCTTTTATGCTGGCAATTGAGAAAAATAGCAAAATATTAAGAATATTGAGTAGGAAATCCAAAAGATTTAGTAAATTGGGTAGGTCATCAAACCCATTTACCTCATGGGAGAAGAAAGCAAGACAGTAAACTATTTTTGAATAACCAACGTAGACTAGTTGTAAGTAATGAGATGAAGGACTGGTAGTAGAATGTTCCCACAATGATATGAGTTGAGATGATGTTTCCATTGAATTTCACATAGCGAGGTCGAAACTGCAGTCCACCCAGGATGAGAGAATTTTTGGGAAAGCAAGGCTATGTGAAATTCAATGGAAACGTCAGCTCAACTCATATCATTGTGGGAAAATTATACTTTGGGAAAGCAAGGCTATGTGAAATTCAATGGAAACGTCAGCTCAACTCATATCATTGTGGGAAAATTCGATGGGAAAGCAAGGCTATGTGAAATTCAATGGAAACGTCAGCTCAACTCATATCATTGTGGGAAAATTCTAATAGGAAAGCAAGGCTATGTGAAATTCAATGGAAACGTCAGCTCAACTCATATCATTGTGGGAAAATTCTACCACGGAAAGCAAGGCTATGTGAAATTCAATGGAAACGTCAGCTCAACTCATATCATTGTGGGAAAATTCTACTGCCCCGCTGGGGTGTTGATAAGACCGATGCGAGGTCGAAACTGCAGTCCACCCTGGATGAGAACAACTTTTGGCGGCTATGTGAAATTCAATGGAAACGTCAGCTCAACTCATATGATTGTGGGAAAATTCTACTACCAGTCCTCCATCAG